AGCTGAGAGAAGCCAAGCTAATAAATGGGGGATTCTAAAAAAAAATCAACTAACAATACGATCCGTGGGCTGTTTTTTGATTAATTGTCTTGGGCGCTTGAGTTACACAAAAAAACAGCTAAGTTCGATATGCTCTTTAAATTGTCGAAATAGAATTCGCTTAGTTAGCTTTTGAAATAACACATAAGAAAAAAATAATCTAGGACCAAAAGAGCAAAAAAGCTGCTGGGAAGCAGACAGTTGCAGAGGCTCAAGTATAAATATATATATTAGGTTTTGTAAGATATATACAAGTATATGTAAATGGCAACTGTACATATCTATACGAATGTACGAGGCCACGCGCGTATTCTAAAACAAGTAGAGAAGCTAAAGTCGGGTGTTCCGACTTTGAAATACTCTGTACATATGTGAAGAATAATCATAGAAAGTAAAAAAATTAAGAAAATAATACAATTTTAAACTGGAATAGAAAACAATGTTAATCTAAGTTTGCAGTTTACAAGTATAAATTCCAAATTCCATTTACTGTGAAGAAATAATTTTGTTAAAGCCACCTACACCTATTTCCACCAACTACTTAATAAACTTCCTTATTTAATTAAGCTAATGCCACAACTTACTCAGTCTAGTTAAACAAATTGCATTTCACTTCCACCAATTCACAATTCTGCCATATCAGTTAAGCAGTTGGTAACAGCCTTAAACTGTCTGCTGACACTGCCCCGTTCACTTAGCCATGCGAGCTGCTTCTGCCCGTCAGTTCTGGGACAAATTTACACATTCAGGCTTTATCTGTCGTATCGTCTAATGTATCGCAAGGTGAGTGCTGTAAGTTGCAATTAAAAATTGGCAAGGCAACTTTCAGTTGCATGCCAGCTGCCAGTTGCCAGTTGCCAGCATTCCCAACCGTGCCAGCTGCTATCAACGCTACAAATATCATACCAAAAATCATTTGACTACCAATCAAAGGGGCTTATCGCCAGCTCTGGCAGATAAGACGAAATCGTTGCGAGATCTTTAAAAGGAAACAAATTTAACAGGCAATTAAAGACAAGGTGAGCAGCGAGGAGTGCAGAGTGTGTATGAGCGAGAGAGAGAGAGAGAGAGAGAGAGAGGGGGCGACTGCCAAAGTAGCAACTGGGCGCACATAAATATCGGAGGCAAGTGAGCTCGTTGCGCATACGCCATGTTGTGCACACATTGCCACATGGCCACTTCGTCGTGTGGCAAGTCGGGCGTGCAGGCGTGAAATTTGCGAATGAAGTAACACTTCAAAGTTGCAATCATGTATGGCTATGTATGTGTGCTATATAATAAGCAATTGTGTGTGTGTGTGTGTGTGTTGTGGTGCACCCAATTAGGTTGCTGCACATTATGCAGTGCACTTGCTGCCTGTGCTGCAGCGCTCGCTTCATTTGCATTTCAAACGAAAATTGTGGCACCGCAGGGAAACACACCTACTTTAACGTCCAAGCGCCGCAGTGCATGCTTTTCTTCATATGCAGATGCACTGAAAGAAAATCAGTTTCCAAGAGCATTTTCAGATTTGGTTCGAAAAGAATGGCAATCGTTTTTGAAAGAACTTTGTACCATTTTGCTGAAGAGATGCGGCTAAGAAATTTTTTGCAGCTGATTGAATACACGGCGTAGCTTATTGTTTATAAGTTTTTAACATTTTTCGAATTGGCTTAATCATTTTACTTTCTTGACTTTCCTTCTTCTCTTACCTACTATGTTTATTTTGTCAGGATTAAAAAGGTTAGAGAATTGTTGGGGGAAGATAGAGAAAATGCTGTCCCTGAAGGAAAATAAATAGGCCATCACAAATTGCAGAAGCAAAGAAATTTGAAAATGAATGTTTCTTAATTTGATTAAAAATATTGGCTGATTTGTTTATTTCTTGATTAATTTATTTTCTGCATTATTTCCATATATAGAATTTGTTTAAATATTTAATTGTAAATTTGTAATTTTATAGAAAAATTATTGTCCCTAAAAGAAAATAAAAAGGCCGTCAGCAATTGCAGAAGCAATAAAATCTGAAAATGAACGTTTCTTAATTTTATTAAAAATATTGGCTGATTTGTTTATTCTTTGATTAATTTATTTTCTATATTATTTCCATATATAGTATGTATTTATGGATGTATTTGTGTATTAATTTAAGGCGATACAAAGAACTTTTGTACAAATTGTAATTCTTAATTTTATAAATTTATACTGGGCTGCAAAATAAAATAAAATAATATTCATTATGTTTGCTTGTTAATTTTTCAAATAATTCGCTTTCTTTGATGATAAGTTGTGGAGTTTCATATTAAAAAAAAAAAGACTCATGAATATTTGTAATTGGTTTAGACAGGAGCAAACGAAAGGTATAGTTTTTGATTTGGATGGGACTGATTAATATTGCAATAAATCACTCAGTAAACCAGTTGTTCTTTAAATTGTTAGGTAGTTTGTCAAAAAGATAAAATTACGAGTTAAGTTCCATTTAGAAACTCTGTCACTAGCTATTCATTTCAATTATAGGTCTTAGTGTCTCTTTAAACGACTGGAATATTTCTCACAGTGCAGTTGCATCACAAATGCTTGTATGTGTGTGTGTGTGCCTCATTATGCGCTGCAATTATGACGTTGCAACTACGCAGGAGGACAGCAACTGCAACGTATAACGTACTACAATGCTGATGACGACGACGATGACGACGTTGACGATGTTGACGACGAATTGCAGGCTGCACTTCAGCTTGCATTTTGTTGTTGCTGTGTCGTTGTCGTTGTCGTTGTTGCTGTTGCTGTTGCATTTTCTGGTGCATGCCGCTGAGCACATCGTCTCGAGTTGATTGCTGCAGTGCTTGGTGCGCCTTTTGCCGTTGTTCCTGTTATTGTTGTTGTTGTTGTCGTGTTGTCAACAAGCAAAAAAGTATGTTGACAACCCCGTAGCAGCAACAACAATCTACCTATAAGATTAACAAGCTCCAACTACTAGGCGAGGCAGCCAGTCAACCAGTCAGCCGTGTGCAAGGCACGCCTGGCCCGCCTCGACCGCCTGGACACCAGGGACGGAGGCACCGAGGAGCGGAGGGACGGAGGGACGGAGAGACAACGTTGCATTTCGCTCGTTGCCGTCTCGCTTTGCTCTGCTTGACTGCGCACGGATTGACAGGCATTATAAAACTTGAGTGCTTGCGACCACCCTGCAATTGAAATCGGCTCAATTGTGCGCAGTTTGTTGGTAGTGTGCTCCACAACAACAACAACAACAACAACAGCAACCACTAGACAACGGCATGGAAGCCTCTACACCATCGCTTGGAAAGTGTTACCAAAATGGCGTAACAAACTTGTAGAGTTGGCATTTAAAGCAATGGGATTCGTTGAAATCAGACAACGATTTAAGTAAGTTAATCAAACGAAACAATGTTATATTAAAATTCAAAGATTCTCCTGACATTTGTTTAGGATGTTAATTACAATAATGCGTTATTTGCGCAAATAGAACTATAGCGATTAATTGTGGTAATTGAATTGGTATTTATATTCTTAATTATAAACAGGATTGGGTACACATAGTTGAAAACCATTTGTTGTTAAAATAAATCTCTCCAAACACAATAATATCTTACTACGACTATGACTCTTTAAGGATCATTATATGTGATTAGGCAACTATAGTCACAGAAGGACTGTAAGTTCAGATGTTCGATACATTAAACTTGAAAAAGCTGCCTTAATAATAAATAGATTTCAAATATTTTATCAAAATAAGAAAAAGAAAATAAGCATTGAATAATTAAATTCTAAACACATTTAAATTAAAAGTTTTAATAGTTCTTTAAACAATTCTGTTAGGAAAATATGAATTCTAAATGTTTGCATATTTGTATATGTTATTTTTTTTGTTTAACTCTGAATGAATTATATTTTTTACAAAATAAGAAAAGATTTTTAATGATTCCAATTAGAATACAAAATGCAACAGTTAATGGTAATCAAATGAAAGCAAATTATAAATGAAAAATAATATTTGCTTCGAAGTAATTGATTAGTTGGATTAATTGATGAATTGGATCCGAATAGGATACAAAAAATCCGTCAGAAATTTGAAAATCGATGATGATTAGGAGAACGCAGCTATTAATTGAGAATTGTTTTAAAGGAAGTGCTCTTTTAACAATTGTTTCTAAAGCCTCTAAGTGAGCTTTGTATAAGTAGAGCTGAAGTAATATTATTATCTGAGCACAAAATGTAGACTAATGTTAAATGTTGTTAAAGTAACAATTTAGAAACTGTCCATATTTTATTTTAACTCATTTGAAGAAGTGCTCTTTTGAAGAAACTTTGTTTTCAATACTTCTCCAAAGTTTGGGAAACTCTTCCTAGATGTGAAGTGAAGTCGTTCTTCAAAACTCAACGTTGTTTGTTTGAACTAATTTTTGAGTAAAATGTAAATAAACCTCTTTTTATTCGATACTTATTCAATGTGTAACAAGAGAGCTCTAGCCAGATCTGATGGAAAGCCGTTGTCCACAAGTTAACTCTTAACATATGTATGTGTGTAGATGAATAGCCAAGTGCCCTCCCATTGTTTTTAGGCTAATTATGTGCAGCCTTAGGCTTAGATCAATATTAATTATGTCAACACCTTCTGTTGACAGCGATTTCTGCCAAGACAACACAAAGACAGCCCCCAGCAACTATGTAAAACATCAGAGGTAGGCAGGCAGGCAGGCAGGCCGGCAACAACAACAACAGTCAGGGTGATTAATCTGTTGTCACAACAACAACGTAAAGTGCTGCTGCTGCTGGTGGTGTTGTTGTTGCCGTTTAATTAATTAACTTGTGCCGACAACATAGACGACTCGTGTAAAGCCTGCCTGCCCGCTGTTGGCTGGTTGTTGCTGGCTGGTTGGGTTAATTTGTTGACAGGCCATTTACACATTTGAGTCTTGAAATTGTGATGGATTTGTCTGTGCCATCAACTTAACACTTACCAGCGTGTGCAGCAGGCCAAGATAATCACAACAATTAAATGCAAATGAAAGCGCAGGCTGCGTGGCGGCTTCCCCACTGAGCTGGTGACAGTGTTGCTGTTGCTGCCTCTTCTTGTTGGTTGTTGCTGCGGTTGCTGCTGTTGCTGGTGTTGCTGGTGTTGCTGGTCGGCCGTTGCAGGTTTCACTTGCCACACACACATCGCTGTGCTTTGATTTGCATAAATTTTCATACAATTGAAGCAAACTTTTTAATTGCTCAACATCTTCATTTGCAGCAAATCTGTTGCCCTCTTCACTGTGACTTGCAGTGCGACTTGATGAGTTGAGAAGCTCAGGCCAAGCCACAGCAGACATTTTGCAGCACACATTGAAACGGAGGATTGGCCTACCAATTGGCACTTTAAACTAATTTTAATTCTTAATTTCTATTCAATTTTTACTACTGTTGTTGTGCATTTTAGAAGCATTGAAGAGTATTGAACATGAGTATTCTTGTTTTATTTTTTAAACAACGACCGTGATTTTCACAAAATTTGCAGTTTTTGCAAATATAATGAATTTCAATTTTTAGTTATTTCATAAGTTGTTGGTTATTGTAAGCATATTTCGTATTTAAATTCATTGTTGGGGAAACAAATTATTATTATTAAAGAAAAATTAAGTTTAAATATTTATTTAAATTTTTTTGTTTTATTTTGAAAATTGTACTTTTTAATAAATATAATATGCATAAGTTTTATAGTCTTTAATACTTTATTTATTTTTTTGAATTTATTGTTTTTTATATTGCCGTTATTATTTGTGATTTCTTCTTTTCAATTTGAGAAATATAATATCGTCTTTAATAATCTATTTATTTTTGAATTTATTGTTTTTATATATCCAATTTTATTTGTGATTTGTTGCTTTTCAATTTGTTTAATCTGTGTTATATTTTGCGATTTTAAGAGGTGTGGTGGCTTAAACATTTAGTGCTATTATTAACTGTCCTTGACTGTTTTCGGTTAAGTTCTCAAATTTAAGCCAAATTGTCTTATTTCTTCAATTATATTGCGTGTTAAGTTATAAATAACTCCAACATAGCTATATTATAGAGCGTATATTTATATTCTTTACTGCTTCCAGCTTTTATAGTTTTATACATTTTTCATTGCATTTTATATATTATTAAGTATATATGATTAAATGTTATGATTTGTAAAATAATGTTAACAAAATTCAATTTATTTCTTCAGGCTTTTATAAACATTTTCTCTTCATTTATTGTTTTAAACAATGTCTTTGAAAGTTTTACCATTCAAGTCTTTAGAACTTATTTTTTTTGTTTTATGCACTTTTTTGTTGCTGTTTTTTTTACAAACCCGACAGCGGTTTTCTCCGTTTGATGACAAAGCTTTGGAGGCTGCGATCGCAACACCATAAGCGTTGCCCACACGGCCTAGGTCTTGACGCTCAGCTCACCAACACACTCGGTACTGGCTACTGGCAACTTTTTGCTATAATAGGTTTTTGTAGAATAGTTATTTTTATCGCTTTTGTTGTTTGTGTTTTGTGTTTTACAATCGCTTCAACCTGTCTTGGGCCATGGGCTTGCCAATGAACGCTGCTTTGATTGGCTTGCGATATTTTTCACTCTTTTATGGGCCCAGGCTTAAATGTTTCTTTGTCTTGCACGAACTTTGCTTCTGGGCGGCTTGGCTTTTTCTTAATGGCACGCTGCACTTTATTTTTTAAATGTTGTTTCTAAGGTCTGTTGAGTTTTGTGTAGGCTTTCAGCACAGCTTGCCGCTGTAAAGGCGATTTCGAAATTATAGACATTGGGAAAATGTAACTTTTCAAAGAAAAATAAAAAAAGTGAAAAATTGTTATAATTTACAAAGAGTGTTCCGCAGATATATATATTTTCAAAAAACAAAAAAAACTTGAAAGGCAATTAATACAACATTTTGAAGTATTTCTTGTTGTTGACATGCCTGTACTAAAGGCTTTTTTCAAAATATGGACAAATAAAGTTTATAAGGCAGTTCCTGAATTATTGGTACTCGTGTATTAGCTCGTGCCGACATTTATTTTCTGATACAAAAATATACTTTATAGACGCAAAGACAACTAATTAGCTAAAAGTGGTAATTCATAATAGCTTTATTTGGTTGGGGGATTATTTTGATATTATTAAACGGATTGTTGCTGTAAATTATTTTCAAAAAATTAGAAAAATAAATAAATTCTATTTGATGTTATACACGCGTCTGAATAAACGAAATAATTCTCAACTAAGTATCCTTGCTAGTCCAAGAAAATGCCAAATTTATTACAAAATTATCTTTTCAATTAAAATAATTTTAATCCTGCTTATAATAGATATCAACGAATAAATCCTGCTCTTACTATATAGCAGATTCTGTTAAGGAAAACAGTTAAGTATAATAATTTGACTAGCTTATAAATTTAAAAGAAGCCCAAAATGTTTTTAACCTTTAAAATGTTTTTTTATTGTTTAAATATAATATGATTTATGAAATTTATTTAATTTTTGACTATTTATGTTTCATTAAAAGTTTTCCATTGAAATGTTTATTTTATTATATATTCGCTTCAATTTTTAATTAATTTAGGTTTAGTGACACATTTTCAGCACAACTTTTATGTAAAAATCGTATTTGAATTGCAATTAATTTGAACGCTTTTAATATCCAGTTAGCTGGCAAACAAAAATCGCACGGAAGACACAGGACACGAACGTCCTAACGCCGAAACGCGTCGAGCAACTATGAAGCGAGAGCCGAGCCTGCGAGTCTCTAAATGCAAATTTAAATCAAAAATTGAAACAGAAGCCGTTGCGTCCTGTCGGCTTTGGTAGCTCTATGTGTGTGTGTGTGTGTGAGATATCCTTGCAGCAGCACACGATGGCAGTCGGTAATCGTGTTGTCGTTGTTGTTGTTGCTGTTGTCAATGGCTGAATGCCGCTATGCGCGTGCCTTGACTCGTCTATCCTTTATCGTCCTTGCTGGGCGTTGAGGGTGGCTGCGCAGCGACTGGCTGGCGAAAGTACATCAAAGGCCAGCACACACACACACACACAGGCACACATTGGGGCAGGCTGCATCACATGAGAGAATTTGTTCAATCGCTCCCGCTTCCGCTCCACTTCATTGACTCTTGTTGTTATATTTGCGGCCTAATTAACACATCAAGCAATGTAAAAATGCATTTCAATTACAAGTATTAAAGATTTTTTACAAACACACACACACACACACACACACACACACCCTTCACACCTGCTCTGCTGCGGCCACCCAACGCTTGTTTAAATCTTTTTTAAAGACAAAAATATGGAACTGATTAAGTGGCTTCCTTGTTATTGTTGTTGCTGTTGTTGTTGCTGGTGCCGCCACACAGACACACAGATACAAGGACACACGACCAAGTGGCACTTGGTCTGAACATCAAAGGGTTAAGCGCTTAGAGGGCAGCAACAACAACAAAAGTGAAACTGGTGCAGGCGGTGGCGCAACGGCGGCAACGGCGGCGTCTTCTCTTCAAGGACTCCAATTATTGCATTCGTCGCTTTGTTGTTGCTGTTGTTGCCTTTGAAATATGCTAATTTACTTTGCGGCTGCTTCTTCAACGATGCCGGCAGCGGCAACGGCGGCGGCGTCGGCGACCTTATAAAAACAAAGAACAAGGCAATTGATTCGGGTCTACTTTCTAGTTTGTGTCTATATATGTGTGTGTATATATATATATTCCTATATGAGTGTATATGTGTGTGTGTGTGTGTGGTTGTCTTGGCATTACAAATATGGGTCGCTTATGTGAATTTCTTTTCTGTTCTTTTGTTCAGGAGTGCCTATTTTATTTTGCGTCTTATTTGTTGTTGGCTGTGAACTTAACCCTCTTTGACTTTTCACTTGTTACACACTTCAAAGGGAAAGCCAAGACGACCACTTGTTGCCAGCTGTTTAGAAAATGGCGGCACAGGACATGCAACATATGCGATTCTATGCGCTGTTGATGGGCGCCAAACAGCTGTTGCTTCATAAGAGCCAATCAGCAAAGTGGGCGAAATTGTTGAGCTGCAAGCAAGTTGGAACGAACTAGAAAATAGAAATATCTTAAGCTTAAATATGTGGCATATCTGTTATTCTATCTGAGATAAAAGTCGACAAACTTCAGTTCGCTCAAAAATATTTTATTTTATTTACTATTATTTATTGGCAGTACTTGGCCTTAAGGACCTACTTTACAGGCTGAAGCTGTACAGTTTAGGGCCAAAGATATTACCCCACTTACTTTGTTTAGTTTTTGTTAAGACAGCAGAGCATAAACAAGGCTATAAAAAAATGTCAATATACTGCAATGTTTAATAATAGAGAGAAAGCAAACAGAATAGGACATCAATGTGCTTATTTGTTTCTTGATAGTTTTAAAACTGATTGTACATTGCACATTTTTTCCGCGCTTTATGCTTCATTTATAATAATCATTTCCAGCTGCTGTCAGATCTGCTCCCGCTTTCCTTTCGAAAGGGCTTTTTTTTTTTTGGCCATCTCCAGCATCTATCTTGTTTGCTTATTCATTGAAACTAAAAAAAGTACTTTTAGTTGATTCTAAGTTTCTCTTCTCTGGTAAGTTTTTCTTTTTATTTGGAAAATGTGCTTTTAAAATATGTGGTCTACTTACGCCTGCGACTGCTTTTGCCATATAATGAACATTTTTATCTGTAATTTATTTATTTATTATTATTATTTCCTAGTGCGACAAGAAAAAAATTCTTATAAAGTGATGCACTAGTCACAAGAAACATACAATTTTCATTGAACAAATTCAAGACGGTTTCATTAATCCACTTAACCTATTTTATAAAATTGGAGTTAAATCTAGAAGGCTATTTCATGTTGCAGACACGGATCAAGGCCTGTTGGAGGAGCAGAACAGTTTCTGAAACTCTCGCATTCACACTCTCGAAAGCAGCGCCCAGCCACAACAGCAACAACAACAACAACAGCATAACCACAACAATTTTGTCCACTCCACCGCATGCAATTGCCATGAATCACCTGGTCGGTGCGGTCCAGCAGTGGTTGAGGCTCTGACTGTGGTTGTGGTTGAGACCGAGACTGAGGCCTGGCCATGCACATCCATCAATGTGCCGTTGACATTTGCCGGCCCGTTGACAAGAATTGTCACAATAAACAATACAGCGACAGCAATAACAACAACAGTGCCGTTGAGAGGACGACACGCGACGTGGGAATGTGTTATAATGAGCGATGAGGAGAGGGGAGGGGAAGGGATTGGGAGAGCCTGATTAGTTTGGTAAGTGGCGAAGAAGAGTGCGCATAAATTAC